TCAACGAAGAGGAAGAGGGGAAAGGAAAAAAGGAATATAAAGACAAATTTGACGAAAAAAATAAAATAAAATCCAAAGACCGATAAAATAAAGAGCCAAGGCAACAACAAATAACACGAATGACGTCAAAGAAAGAAGAGCAAACGGTTAAACAAAAAAGACGGACATATATATATATACCAGCCGGAAGGGTCCCTGACGTGACGCAAACGCCTCGTAAGTTACGACCTCGCAAGTTCTTACCCGGACTGCGTTTCCTGCCTCGCGTCGATTGTTGGGGAGGGGGGGGGGAGAGGGTTGTTTAAGGTGTCTGCACAAGTATAGATATATACAAATATACTCGTGTGTATCTACATGTCGGTTGGGTAAAATCTAGAGACCATGAAACAAGAAGTATCTTTTTTAGGTGTTTCGGTTTGTTTCTTCAAGCGTTTATTTCGAAATGGACGGTTGTAGGTCATTATACAACTAACACCAAAAAATAATACATTTGCAAGCACCACTCCCATACTTAGCATAAACCCGCCACCATAATCCATGCAGTAGAATTGTAAAACGATTTTTTTTTTCAATCAAAATGCTCCACATCCACGAGCAGTGATCTGGCAAACAGACCCATTGATTCAAGGAAAATTGCTATTTTGCCACGTGATAGGATACGCAAGATAGCTATCACCATGGCTGCCGAGGAAAACTTTAACATATCTTCTGAGTTTTTTAACGTCGCCACAAAACCCAAAAAGCGGAAAAAATAACGAGAAATTTAGAAATCCAACGATACATTTGAGATCGTTGTTTTGCTTTTTGGCCTCAACATTCGTTTAAGTACAAGTCTGGGCTAAATTATTTAATTACTTCATTAAGATGGATTAATCATAAATGGAAATCCTGTATTTAGTTTTCTTTAAACTTTAAAATAGCCCCTTGCTGGCTTGGCTTATTAATTGGGAAATACATTTGGGTTTAATTGATTTTGAGGATTTGGCCTATAGATAGATAGATAGATAGATAGATAGTTAGATAGATAGATATATAATGCAAGTCAGTCACGATTTCAATCAACGGTAAGCATGGGAAATAGAGAAAAAATAATATTTATAAAACCAAATATGTGTAAACATGCACGCGCACAAATTTTGTTTTAGATGCATATATATATGCATCTACAACTAAATTTGTGTGTAAAACCGTGACTGCTTTACACGTGTTGCAAAGCCGCTCCTGACGTCAATATACGGATCCCGAGCACGCCGGATGTTTCTCAAAACATTAACTCTTCTGATAAGCGTTTGTCAACGTAAGATTTATTGCATTTTGGCATACATACAAATACAGGCATGATACACGCTTGCAAACACATATGTACACTGCATCTACACTGTATATATGTATATACATACACATATTCATAAATAGATAAAAATCTTTCTTTGATCCTCCTTCATGATATAAAATTATTGAAATTGCTCGTTAGATATAATCCAACTCAGCTATAGGCTAAACAAGCTATTATGGGAATGTTTCACTCTAAGGCATTAATACATATTTCCGTATCGCTCAGTTCGTTTAGATCTGTGGATAAGAAACATCAATCAAAAATCGATTTTCGACTTTTTATTTTTTTTCGACTATGTAAGGGCTAAATGAGGACCTGTGAATGGAATCGTTTCAGGAATACAGAGTATACGATCCTCTCCGCATAAGTTAAAATGTAAATGGGATGAACGGCATTCACCTCAGAACATGATTAAAGTGAGAAATGTTGAACCCCATTAGCTTTAGAAAATTAGCATGTGTTTAAGTTGTCAATTGAGTACAAGCCTTACTAAACCAAGGTCATATAGGGAGTAGGTTAATACGTTAGCGTAGATTTCTGACTGTCAAATTTGGTAACAAATGTCATAGTCTACGGAATTGTAAGAAGTTTATTATCAATTAAATATTATGCTCCATTAGAATCTCAAAATGACCGCTAACTTTAAATGTATCAAATCAGTCTTGTTTTGCATTGTTGCTTCCAAAGATGCGCGTTTCGTCTCCCTTTTTTTCCCTGCTACGTAGATTGCTAGTTTTGGAAATCAGACCTCATAATACAGATACAATATTCGTTACAGATGATTAAGAGTTAAGCATTTATCAGGCGGGTAAGGCAAACTATATTGACAACCCTAAGGCTTAAATGTATAAATAGATCACGAATGTATTGGAAGTTTAGCGTAATTATACCGTGAATAAGACCAATCTACGGGATAATGCTACAGACACTAATGAAAACATCGCTAAGTGAATGGGTATTTGATACTTGAAGCTGATGCGCAGCTAATACTTCGATACCTACTTAGTTGTGAGCGTGCACGTACCGCTGCTACATTATGGTGTTTCAAGTGTTCAGTTAATTTATGATCAAACTCATCGCCTGAATAGATTTAGTCGTTCTCCTCACAACAAGTACATTTTCACATATGAATAATTACACCTTTTAGGTTCATTTAATGACTTTTTTTCATTTCATATGCGTTTCTGTATATGCATTAGCGTGAAGGTTTTCCTTTTAATCTGCAGGAATTTAACTAATGCGGTCGTATAAATTGTTTGAATTGTGGCCTCTTACGTAAATAACTAGGGTTTTGAGCTACGTATATAGCTAAAAATACCAAAAAGAAGTTTACAGTATTTATTAAAATATGTGACATGTGCATCATTACTAAAAGCACAGCCTTAAAACCAATAGAAATAAAACTAGAGCTCTTGCCCGTGATGGAGAATGAGGAAAGGGTATAATGTCTCGTGATTTCTTTGGCGTCTGTTTCGCTGTGCAATCACAGGATCTGGCTCAGCTTGCTCCCTCGCACCCTGCTCTGCAATGGATACGTAATATGCCTCCCCATCATTGACTTCCGTGCGATCATCTGAAACCCAACGATAACCATACATTGGTTGGTTGGGTCCGGTGATCTCCCCTAGCTGGTATTTTCCTTGGACACCAGATACCTTTTGATTATTGTCTCCTTGCGTTTCATACCTTCCTTGGTCTCCAGTGAGAACTTGGGTTTTATATCCTATAAGATCTGCGGGAATCTGTGCTCTTTCATTCGCTCGGTATTCGTGATTATTTTCAACGTCACGAGTGTTAGGCTTCACGGAGGATTGAAGCTCTGAGTGCGACACCAAGACACGTGCATCGGTTGGAGGGCCACCACCTGTGTTAATTGTGTACATGTTATACCCTAACTGTAAATCATAGGGAAAGTGATTATCAGTTGCCGCTTTTCCATGAGGAGGTAGACCTGTTACGTCACTCTCTGTGTGGAATCTATAGGCCCGGTGATCGTGATTTGAAGGTGAAAGAGAGTCGTAGGTTAGGCGCATCGTGTCCCCGGCGCCATTTCCATTCCGGCTATCTTGAATCGTCCCTGCAAGAGAGGATAGTATTTCCCCTTTGTAGTTCTAGGAATTCATAGGAATCAGCTTGATAACGTTCCAATATACTGGTGATAAACGAAGCTCGTAAACTAAAGGATAAGGATTAAGTTACCTTTATGTTCATTCGAGGGAGTGTATGAGCCATGGGGTCTGCGTCCTGAAGTGGATTCTCGGTCTCGCGGCTCAAACTAGAAAGGGAAATAAAATTAGCGGCCACATTTTGTCCGACACCGTGATCAGTGAAGCAGATACCACTACAGGAAATCATATACCATTGCTTTAGTAACGAAACTTCATACATGGTGTAGTATAAGTAGGACTGTACAGCAACACAAGTTAACAGGAAACATAACTATTCTATATATATCAATAAGAAGCGCGTGTGAACCAACAACGAGCCGATAAACAGAACAGGTTAATTACATATTGTATTTCATAATCTTACTTATCAATTCAACGTGTTGGAGATTAAAATGAATCATCAAATATAAATTGTACATTTTTTGTGCAGTCACGATTTGTTTTACGTTTGTAAATATTTTAAACATTCGAGGCACGAGCATATGATGAACTAAGACTAACCATTTTCTCCTTAAACTCGTTGTATTAACGAACAAACACGTAAAAATAACTGGGGGGGGAGGGGGCACAGCTAACTATCAAAACAATGGTTTGAACTTCAACCTATGATTAGTATTTATAGAATTACCTTTTGCTATCTATATAATGATCCCTTGCGCGCTAGTTTCACGGAAATTGTGGGGTTTTGATATGGGATTTCTTTTTAATCTTGGCGTTAAGAAGCTTAAAAACTTTGGTCGGATTGAAAGTAATCCGGCTGGTGTGTTTGTTAAATGCCGTTTTTTAATCCATACCTATATTCCAAAAAGACTCATGTTAATATTAATGATAATTGTAATAATGACGATGACAATGACAATGACGATGACGATGACATTGACAATGATAATGATGATAACATAATAATAATAATAATAATAAATGTCAGGAGGAGCAAAGTATATATAGCGTCAGAATACATCACATCGACTAACCTTTTCTTCGGAATGGGAATCCACTGGGGATTCTCGAGAATCATCGTCGAACTCCTTCGGTGTAGAGCGTGAGGAAGGGTCACTGAAACGAGGGTTGCTAAGGTGTTGGAAATGATTGTTTGCGTGTGAGGAAGGGCGGTTTGTGTCAGAGGAAAAGCTATTTGCGTGAGAGGGAGGATTTGTGTAAGAGAAAGGGTTGTTTGTGCCTGAAAAATGGCTGTTTGCGTGAGAGGGAGGGTTTGTGTCAGAGGAAGGGTGGTTTGCGTGTGAAGGAGGATTGTTTGGGTGTGAAAACAGATTGTCCGTGTGTGAGGCAGGGTTATTTGTGTGCATGGAAGGACTGCTTGAATAAGAGAGAGGGTTGTCCGAGTGAGAGGAAGGATTATTATCATACGCGGAAGGACTGTTCTGCCAATGAGGACTAATGAGGTGTGTCGACGGGTAATAGACCGGACCGGGTGCCAGGTCGTAACCGAAAGGCCAGGACAGACCCCGGCGAGAGAGGGGGAAAGTGTACATGAACGGCTGCGTGTATCTCAGTACTCCGCCAAGAGTTCCAGCGAGAGGATCACTTTCTCTCTCGTTCCCCAGTAACGTTGTTTTTGCGTCTCCGTCTGCCTCACATTTCCCTGCCTGAAAAAGAGAGTGGAACAGGAGACTCGTGTCAATGCAAGCTGAAGTAATGGTAGATCAAATGAAGGCTGAACAAAAGTATGATTTGCGGTGTTCAGATTCTGCTTTGTAGAATGCCACTTTTTTGTCGTTCGATTTAACAAATTATATATTATCTATTCCTAGTTCTATATTAAAATATGAGGGATCGGCACTTAATGGTTTCTAACTTTTTAATATCTAACCATTTGGGCAGTTCATGTCCGGGTTAAAAGCCATTTACCACGGTTCAATCAGATATAACCTAAATCTGATCACACAAAATATGCAATACTAGGATAAACCGTAAAATGAAAAATAAACACACACGCCCGCACACACACACACACATACATACACAAACATGCACACATACATACACACACATGCACACATACAAACGCACGCACACACACGATACACACGCACACATACTCTCTCTCTCTCAAATATATGCATATTTATGTATATATGTATTACATGACCTATCATTCCACTGCTGGACTTTGACCTCCCTCAATCCTTTTTCAATTGAGAGGTTGTTTGGCAGAGCCACCTTTGCTTGAGTGAATGCCTTTCCTAATCAAAGGCGGTTCAGCGAGCTACCAATTGCCTTTGAACTCTCAGATCGGGCTTGTGTGTGTGTGTGTGTGTGTGTGTGTGTGTGTGTGTGTGTGTGTGTGTGTGTGTGTGTGTGTGTGTGTGTGTGTGTGTGTGTGTGTGTGTGTGTGTGTGTGTGTGTGTGGTTGTTCACGAGCCTGGGTGTGGTTAGTGGTTAACTTTCTCGATTACTAATTAGCTGCTACATTTCTCAGCAGTGCTTCGCTATGAACACTGTGCACACCTATAACGCATTTAACCTTCTGATAGCTAACCATCATTAAATTTTACGCGGGCTCATCAAAGACAATCAACTAATGCAAAGGTCAATATCGGACGTCTAGACAAATCGAACTTCGAAACTCAAGAAAACTAAAGCACGCTATGGTGTTGGTACAAAAAAACATACAAACTCCACTGTAAACAAAATAAACTTTCTAATGAATTAATTTGGTTAAGAAACGCACGTTGTGTAATCGATACAAAAATATAACTCCACACTAGACCAAAATTTAAAAAAATACATGTTAACGAATCCATCTTGTTTATTAACGCAGACCAAAACAAACTATTGAAAGAATTAAACAAATTTAATAAAGGCATTTACCTAATTAACAAAACTAAAAAAAAAATCTAATGAACTCATTTTGCTAATAAGCTCGTTTACGTCTATCAATTTGCTCGTTTGATTTGCGGTTCCATAACCTGACCTGACCTGACCTGACATGCGCGAGAGGATCCGCGGCCAACCCGGGAGAAGAGAGTCCGTAGCTGGTTCGGAATGCGAGACGGGGTTCGAGACTCCTTCAGGTTCGTTGGGGCTTCGCTAGGATTCGTTGGAAGGTTCTCGGGTTTCACTGATGGTTCGTCGGGGCTCGCTGGAGGGTTACTGGGGTTCGTTGGAAGTTTGGCGGAACGGTTTGGGGATTCCTGCAGGATGAATTGGATCATTTAGAAGAATACTCGATTTTTTTTTTTTTTTTTTTTTTTTTTTTTGGTGGTGTCAAAAAGCAAACAAGAACAATTGAACTCTGGGTTTTAATGTTCCTATTTCATTCAATGGCTCACTCATTCACTCTTTTACTCACTCATTCACTCTTTTACTCACTCATTCACTCACCTATCCACTCACTCATCATTTCTCTAATTCATTTATTCACTCATGCACTTACTCACTTATACAGTAATTAATTCATTCACTCAGTCACCTACATACACACGCGCTCACTTTCACTCTCACTCTTTCGCACGCTTTCTCGCCTCTCTATCTTCCTCTTTCCCTCGCTCTCTTCCTCTTTCTCTTAATCTCTCTTTATCTTTCTCTTTCTCTCTTCCTCTCTTAAAAAACAGTAAATAATGTTTAATTTAACATGACCTTTCCTTTGAGATTATATCAGCTTGACAATCCCATTTTCACAGATCCGACTCTTACGATTTAGCGTTGTGTGCGATTACATAAGTGAAATATAAATTGTTTTATAAATAGTAATAAAGCACGAACCATGCACTCCTTCCCCATATACACACCCATTACGTAAGGTATAGCATGGTATTAATGATGCAGGCCCATTGTCAATAGCGTACAGGTCAAAGGGAGAGGACGACCCTCCGACCTAATAATGGTGTATGTTCCAACAAGACACTGGACGGCTGAAATTACAGTATGAGACACGAATTACACGCAATTTCAATAAACACGTTGGCAAAAAACGGAGAAAATTAATAGTGGTGAATAATGGATATTCTGAATTCTGAGACTTACAGCGTTCAT